ACTGTGCTGGGTGCCAGGGTTATCATCGAGAACCAGGCAGAAATGTCCTTGTTCTTAAGAAATGTCCGTTCTAGAAAGGGACCAGGTAGGCAAGCAGGCTTCAGAGGGAGAAGGTGGAGGGTCGGAGTGAAAGGGAGCTAGACGGGGAAGGAGTGGACGTGACGCCTGAGGGCTGAGATAGTGAGGCCGGTTGCGGCATTAAGAAGGTTGAGAACCACTGGCCACTCGCTGCTGTTTGACAGGAAGCCTTTCCTGTACGTGGTTGTGGGGAAATGAAACCCTTGGGGTAGAGAAGAAACTCCATGGTGGACTCTGAGCTCCGTGCAAACATTTCAGCAAAGGCCCTGACCTGTTAGTAAGCATCGACCATCAGCGATGAATGGGCTTGTAAAAGGCTTTGTTGATGAAAAGGCCGATGAAAGCCTAGACGTCAGGGGTACCCTACAATGGCTTCCACGGGAGTGAAAGATTTCAATATTTTAAAAATCAAGCCATTGATTTCATTGTTTAATTATTGCCTGTTTATCCAATCGCTTCAAATAAAAGTGACCTCCCAGGAAGCGCGTAGGGAACCAGAGGGGCAGCAAACCCAAATCACCCCGGAATCCCGACATTCCAGGGGGCGGGGAGAGAAGAGGGAAGGGGAGCTTCGGATGGGTTTCCTTTCCTCAAAAGACACCAAAACGGAGACATTGAGACACAGAGGCAAGAGGATTCGGCTTAACTGGTGCCAGAGTCTCCTCAACTTAACGGGAGGCTCTCAAACGATGCGAGAAGCATTGCTTTTGAATGTTCTGGAAGAGGAGAGAAAAGGAAAGTGTGTGTCTAGCTACATTACAGAGGATCTCAGAGGGAAGGGGGCGGGGGTGGGGGGGAGATCAAGCAAAGACCTGGTGTGCACATATGCCTAGCCCATGGGCACAGACAACAGTGCGGTGAAGGCCTGGGGGCTGGGGGGTTTATGGGGGGAAAGGTGGGCCATCTTTAATACTTTCTACAATAAAGATTAACTTAAAAATAAATAAATAATAAATTTAAAAGATTTTAAGAGCGGGATCTAGTCCGCTCTTCCTCGTTATAAAGAAGTCTGACATGTTCAAAGCTGTGGGGTTTGCTGCATCGAGAATCCCAGGCCCTCGAGAGCATCACTACCCTGACCTTCAAGCCATCTGCCCACCTCGCGGAGCCTCGGCCGAACAATTAACACTCACAGAGCATTCCAGAAAGGCGACCACTCCAGAGCACTGGGCATTGCTGCCGGGCTCGCACCTTCCCAGACACTACATAATTAGAAACCACAGATGTGAGCGGCGTGCGTTAGACTTTCACCCTCGTCCCCGGATCCAGTGACGCACACAGCAGGCTGGTGCCTTCAAGGGGCAGGACATGGACCTTCCTAAAGGAATGCCACTTGGGAGCGCTCTCCTGTGTCTGCTCCCAACACCTCTGACACCACCTGTGTGTGGGTTTTCACATCAGGCGGTTCTCCATCTCTCGCGCGTCCTACAATCCAGTTGAATTCTGACTCTCCCCGGGGTGAGCGCAGACCCCACAGGTCTGTCCCACAAGACTGGGCCCACTTCCGATGCCGCCACAAGTCCCGCGTGGCCCCTGCACTTCTGACCGTCCAGCTCCGGATCGGGCCTTTCCTCAGGCCCGACCATTTGCCAGAATAGCTCCCAGGCCTTGGGAAAACATTCTACTGACTCTTGCCCATGTTTTCATAAAGGATTCAAACCAGGAACAGCCCAAGGGGAGCCATGCAGAAGGCGAGGTGTGGGGAAGGGGCCCTCTCTGCCGCCACAGCTTTGGGAAGGTCGCCAACGCCCTTCCCAGCGCCTCTACCTGCCGAAATCCTCGTGGCCGAGAGCAGCTCAAATGATACTTCTGTCCGACTCAGTCACTCCCGCTCCTGTGTCCCCCAGACATCTTCCCGTACCTCTCTTTGGGGGCGCCGATCACACTAACTAGCATCTGCCATAAAGGCCCCGGGTCCATGACTCCACCCCCCCCTAGACTGTGGAGCGCCTCCTCTTTCAAAGGGTGCCTTGCCTGCAATAAATCCTCGACACTTTCGCTCCCTGAAAAGGTGACGCCTGTCTGCAGGACGATGAGTCATCCGGAGTGGCTGAAGCAAAGGGCGCGTGAAAGGCAGTTCGGGATATAAAACTGGAGCATAATGGGAGTTTCTAACACCGGGCTGAGGCGTTCGGGGTGTCACAACACACCCCCGGCATCCTGATTCCTTCATCTCCCCTTTACAGTAAGTCAGGCTTGTCGTGTGTTGTTGGTTGTTTTCAAGCCGTAAGTCTATGTTGGGTTGAAAAACAGAGCCATCAGATTGTTAGCAGAGGAAAGAAGAAAGAAAGAACCCCTGCTCGTGTGGAGCTCTCCTTCATTCCTCCGAAGCCCAGACACTGTGGAGGCCACATTGAAATGCCTGCCTTTGACAGTAGACCTACGATTGGGTTTAGGCTCTGAGATTTGAGCTCTCCGGCTCAGCCGTGTCCTCTGTAAAGGGAGGATGACACTGTCCTGGCTGTAACTTGTAAAGGACGAGAAAGAAGCCCCACATCGTGCGTGGGGAGGAGAAATGACAGAAGGTGACTGAAGCGCCTTCGCACAGGTTACGCCCGCCGGTGAATGAGCAGCTTCCCTACCTACCGCCTCGACGACCTTCTGTTGCAGGGGTCGCCGGCGAGATCTGTGCAGGCAGAACGGCTGAATCAAAGCAGGAAAGTCTGGACGTATTGGGAAGCATTCTAGAAGAATCTGCATTTCCTGTTTTACCCTTAAAGTGCATGGTCTGTGTGTAGCTTAACTATTGAGAAACGTCCCTGTAAAGGCAGACTTTGGGTAGAAACTATAACTCGGGCTATTGCTTCTCTGATCCAGTGCCTACACGTGCTCCTCCTTGCTCCTTCCCGGGGCTGAGATCTGCAACCCCAGGAAGATGTGCTAAGTGTGCGCCCTTCTAAGGGAACCCGGAAACACTGTACTGTCTGTCTGGAGAGTGACCTTGGTTTCTGGAGAACAGTTTGCCACCTTGAGGGCTGTTGTGAGTCACAGAAGCTAGGCCCGGCTGCAAGAGATCGGGACAAATGCCCAGCCAGCGTCCTGGGAGCAAGTGCCACCACAGCCACACACACACACCCCCCCCCCCCCCCCCCCCCCCCCGCCCCCGTTCTATTCTTTCTCTTCTGATCCATCCTCTCCACGCTCTGCCGATCCCTCAGGTCCACCCTGAGCCCAAGAGGAGTCCCCACGGCGGGAAACTGGCTAATCAACTGGACCTGGTGTCAGCCGACCTGCGTTCAAATCCCAGCCTAGCTGCTTGTTTGCTTTTTAAATATATTTTTATTGATTTCAAAGAGGAAGGGAGAGGGAGAGAGAGACAGAAACATCAGTGATGAAGGAGAATCATGGATCGGCTGCCTCCTGCACGCCCCCCCCCTGGGGGTTGAGCCCACAACCCCGGGCATGCGCCCTGACCGGGAATTGAACCGTGACCTCCTGGTTCCTAGATCGACGCTCAACCACTGAGCCCCGCCGGCCGGGCCCCGCCTCGCTGCTTTCTTCCCAGCTCCGTGACTTAACCCGACCTGCATCGCTTAACATGGGCATCACTGTGCTCCTCTGCACCCTGGGGGTCAGTGAAGTGAGGGAGAGCATGCTAGGCTGTCAGACTGTGCCTGGCAACTGCAGTCAACAAAGGGTAGTTGCTGTCATCACTGTATTAGCCTTCACTGGGAGATACTTACCCTGTCTATAACTTTTAAAGGACAAGAACAAAAACACAGCACCCGGCAGCCCTACCCCAGGAACTCAGAGAGGCGACGAATGAAATAGTGCTTACGAGGCCTGTTGAGTCACGCAGGAGAGAAGTAACACGGGTGTGGGCAGCTAGCAGGGGAAAGGGCTGACCCACGAAAGATCGCCTGCCGCTCACCTTTACATGACAGCAGCTCCGACTACAGAGATCATAAAAGAGACAACCACCCTTGACATTTGACCCCCTAGAAGCTGTCACGGGCTCTGAGTCAGCCAACAGGGTACAGATTCCAGGGACTTGACTCTTGTAAAAACAACCAGGGCGCGTGAAAGATGCCCGGACCACCCCTCCCCCAGGACCTGGAGACGAAGCAGCTAAATCCACCGGTGCACACACACACACATGCTTCCTAGAGCAAGTCCTTTCAGACGCTTCCTGGGCCCAAAGCACACCCCCGGGACACTGACCTGCGATTTGTGGGGCCCATACTTCCTCTTCTGCATAAGGATACCCGCTTGGGCTGTAAGGACCCCACATATTCTGAGTCACCTTCTCATTCTTCTGGGCGGCACGAGCCCCTTGTCCCCGGGTGAGAAGACAGGAGAGGTCTGCCCTATCACATGGGCAGGCCGGGGGTCCGGTTACCTTCTATCAGTTAGATTGCAGGCCGAGGGAACCGCATCGGGTTACGGGCTAGGTGTGCAGGCGTCGCAAGGCAAGGACGGGTATGGATGACAGAGCGCGAGGCTTTGCCGTCGGAAAACACCAACCTGGCACAACGTGCAGCCTGATCCCAGACTTCTACCCAAACTGCCCGGAAGCTCGGAGGAAAGCCCAAGTGCACAACCAGGAAGGCCGAGCGCATTGGGGCCTGTGGTGTCACTGAGGCGTTTTGTGGTGAGCGAAGGACCAGCGGGAGGGAGGGCTGGCCTCTGAGCTGGAGAGGCCAACTGTCTGTGCTGGTGAAGATGAAGGGCCACACTCCCTGGGTTCAACTCCCGGCTCTGCCACTCGGGAGCAATAACGCCCTGGGCACGTTTCTCCATTCGTAGAAGAGTGCTGATTCTAATAAACGCCAGCCATTGGCTATACCCATCAATACCAGGCTAACGGGAGCTTTCCCGACAGTTGCTCTCTCAGAAACACGAGGACTGACGCGGACACTGGCCAGGGATTCCCAACCTCATCCTGCGGCCATTTTGGACTCGATAGCAGTGCTGACACCTACCCACCACGTCCATCGTCCCGGTTGTGACATCCAAACTGTCTCCAGAGTTGCCAGGGCCTCTGTGCTGGAGCCAGGAATAGCTGTGTAAGGGCACACCATCTTTGTCATGTCACTCTCGCCTACATGTCCCATCCACTACGTCCACCATGTGACTAAATGATACACAAACCACAATGCAAAAGGCTGCCTTAAAATTACTTCCTCCCTTGCCCTTCATTCAACTCTGTGTAAAGAAGAACAATGTCTGTCCTTTGTACCTACGTGTTTTCAGTGCCTGGCACGAAATGGACAATTAATGAATGAATGATAGGTGAATGAATGGATGAGTGAATGAATGGTTGGATGGATGATGAGTGAATGAATGAATGGATGGATGGACGATGAGTAAATGAACACACTCCAGCTTTTTCATGTTAGACAAGTCTGCGTAGCGGTTAGGTTTCCTCACTCTTTGACTCCAGTGAACACACAGAGGAGGTAAGCACGGATCACACACTCACCAGTGACGAGGAAACAGAACGCTGAGACAAGCTGGGCCAGGGTCCCGGGAGGCGGGAGGCAGGCGCACCCTTTCCACAGACTTCAGGGCGCAGAGCCGAAGGCCAAACACCTGATCTTCCCCGGGAAACAGCACCAAAGGCCCAGCCCAAGGACTGGGGCCAAATAGGCCAGTGAGCAAGGAGGCCGGCAGCAAATCCCGGCGAGGGCTGAGCCCGCGGAGTCCCAGTGAGCAGGTGACAGCAGCTCAGACCCAGCAGCCGCCTGGGAAACCCCACGAACGGGCAGAAGCACTTTGGGCCCATCGAAGAAGAAGCTGTAATCATGTAGAGAATAGCTGAAATATGCTATAAAATAACACGAGAGTCCCAAAGTTCAGCAGACAGAATTTTCAAGGGAGCATCTGCTATTTCCATAGGAGCCCAAAAAAGTGATGCAACTGCATCAGGTGATGGCGTGATGTTTCTGAAGCACACGGTGGCGGATTCCTGAATCCCCAGCTGCCCGCTGCTGGGATATAAACTGGTAAACAGACACACAGCCTCGCAAAGCCGTCACCTGCCCCTACCGCTTCCTTCACTGCCCCTTTACCGTTCCCCCGATTTTAATTCAGCTGAAATGGATATTCTTTTGGGCTCTGTGCCTTTTTTTTCCTTTTACACATACATAGTGAGCTTTCTTATAATGACGGGTTCTGTTTTCCTGCAGCATGGATTGCCTGGCGATTTCTGATTGGATGCCAGGCTCTATGGTTTTTTCCCTTATTGGGGGCTGATATTTCCGTGTCCTTGTAAACATCCCTGAGATTGGTTCCGGGCCACAGTTAAGTTAGTGGGAGGCAGGTGAGCCTTTTCAGGTGTCTTTTAAATGTGTTAGGGGGGCCAGTCAGCATTTGTTCTAGGACTAGCTATGCCCCACTTCTGGAGTGACCGTCTGAGTGCTCTGGACAATGCTCTGTGAACTAGGCTGTTTTCTCATAAGGTGGGGGTGGGGGGTGCAGGGGGGTCTGACCCTCTCAGGTGATTGGTCACGGCCCCAGGAAGTTGCTCACGTGCGTGTGCTCATCAGTACTCTGCTGAGCACCTGAGGGGACCCTCTGCAGGTCTCTGGGCTCCTCTCTCTCCTCTCCAGGACTCTGTGGTGCGGACTCGAACCCTCCAGGTCTCCTCAGGCTCTCAGTCCGAACCCTCCGCTCGGCGAGTTCACCAGGCTCTGGGGCTTCCCCACCCTGCCCCGGCCTGGAAGCTTTCTCCTCACAGGAGCGGGGCGGTCACGGGCTCCCGGTGTCTGCCCTCCAGCTCAGACAGCATCTCCTTCATGGCTAATGGGCAACATCTCAAGCATGACCACCCCATACGTTCTGTTCGCTTTTCAAGTGTTCTCGGGCAGAAGGGTGCACCTAGAGCAGTGGTTCTCAACCTTCCTAATGTTGCGACCCTTTAATACGGTTCCTCATGTTGTGGTGACCCCCAATTTCATTGTTACAAACTGAACATAATTAAAGCATAGTGATTAATCACAAAAACAGTATGTAATTATATATGTGTTTTCCGATGGTCTTAGGCGACCCCTGTGAAAGGGTCGTTCGACCCCCACGTTGAGAACCGCTGATCTAGAGCCTGTTGGAAACAGGAGTCTGACCAACATGTTTGTTATATGTCCTGTAAATATCCACAGATAACAGATAGCTACGGCCCAGCCGGCCTGGCTCAGCGGTTGAGCATCGACCTATGAACCAGGAGGTCAGGGTTTGATTCCATCAGGGCACAGGCCCGGGTTACGGGCTTGATCCCCAGTGGGGGGCGTGCAGGAGGCAGCCCATCCATGATTCTCTCTCATCATTCATGTTTCTCTCTCTCTCTCTCTCTCTCTCTCTCTCTCCCTCTCCCTTCCTCTCTGAAATCAATAAAAATATATTTTAATAAATAGTAGTTACAAATCCCTTATATATATGACTCTTATACAACTAGGCTTTAAATTTTATAAATTAATTATAGTCAAATCCAAAAGCGAGTAACACTCGCTCAGATGAACAGCATTATTTTAATGGCAGCGTGCAGGTGCCTGATGCGGTGGTTTGCCTTGAACTGGGCACAGCAGTCCTCGCTCCAAACAGGTCTGCCTCCCTCGGGCTGCGCTGACTCACTCCTCCCTTCGTCCTCTGTGTTTAAGTCCCAGAAAACATCCGTCTGCACCATGTCCCATGATGTCATTCAGCCTCCGCTTTGTTCAAACATGCCAGTCATATGTTGAGTCCCCTTGTTCTCTGTGGTGCCAGGCAATGACATGTGCGAGTGTGAACGCTGGGATTGTGTGACAGCGTGTGGCCATACGATGGCACGCAGATGATCCTGAATGTGCACATATTAATTTTTAAAACAGTCACTGAATTGGAAAAGCAAACATTTAAAAATTCTTGTCTAGAGCACACCGCGTGTTACAGACACTGCAAGTCCCAGGCAGGACAATAAAACTTCCATCAGCGTGGGAGCCACGGCGAGCAGGCTGACGACGTATGTGAGCCGAACTGCGAGGTCCCGTCCGCGGCACCTAAGACGGCTGGTCCCGGGAGACACGGGAAGCGGGGCTGTGAGGAGCTGGGAGGGAAAAGTGGGGGGATGCTAAGAAGAGTACCTGCTTGGGCCCTGGTTGGTTTGGCTCAGTGGATAGAGCGTTGGCCTGCGGACTGAAGGGTCCCAGGTTCGAAGGGTCTTAGGTTCGATTCCGGTCAAGGGCACATGCCTGGGTTGCGGGCTCGATCTCCAGTAGGGGGCGTGCAGGAGGCAGCCGATCAATTATTCTCTCTCATCATTGATGTTTCTATCTCTCTCTCCCTCTCCTTCTTCCTTTCTCTCTGAAATCAATAAAAAATATATATATATTTTAAAAAGAGTACCTGCTTGGTACTCTACACCTGCAAGTCCATGTGGTGAGAGTGCTCAGTGGGCCCTGGCTGGGTGGCTCAGGTGGTTAGAGCACTGCCTTGACATGCCAAGGTTGTGGGTTCCATCCCTGGTCAGAGCACATGCAAGAATCAATCGCCCTAACCGGTTTGGCTCAGTGGATAGAGCGTCGGCCTGCGGACTGAAGGGTCCCAGGTTCGATTCCGGTCAAGGGCATGTACCTTGGTTGCGGGCACATCCCCAGGAGGGGGTGTGCAAGAGGCAGCTGATCGATGTTTCTCTCTCATCGATGTTTCTAACTCTCTATCCCTCTCCCTTCCTCTCTGTGAAAAATCAATAAAATACATTAAAAAAAAAAAAAAAGAATCAACCAATGGCTCTAGCTGGTCTGGCTCAGTGGATAGGGCGTCGGCCTGCAGACAGAGGGGTCCTGGGTTTGATCCCGGTCAAGGGCACGTACGTAGGTGGCAGGCCCGATCCCTGGCCCTGGTCGGGGTGCATGCAGGAGGCAACCACTCAATGTGTCTCTCTCACATCGATGTTTCTCTATTTCTGTCTTTCTCCCTCCCTCCCACGCTCTCTAAAAATCAATGGAAAGATATCCTCGGGTGAGGATTAATAACAACAAAAAAATCAACCAATGAATGCATAAATAAGTAGAACAACAAATCGATGTTTGTCTCTCTCCCTTCCTCCCTCCCTCTAAAATCATTTATTTTAAAGAATGAATAACTGGGAGATTGAATATGCAAAGCCAGCTGAGAGATGTGCAGGGCACTGGAGAAAAAATCTCAGCTGCAAGCGTTAGTGCCTGAGAACCCCCGCGACGCCATCCGGGTCGGCTGTCTGCGCACCCTTACCCACCGCGTGTGGGAGGGGACCCGGCGGCCAGAAAGGCGAGAGGGTGGGAAAGGGCAGGGCTCCAGGCTCCCGGCCTGGAGAGGGAACCTTTCCCCTTTGTGTTCCCTGGGGTGACCGAGGGGGCGAAACCCGAGCCAGGACAGGAGTGAGATGAGACGCTGTGCCCTATTTCGGCTCAAAAGCGCCTTAGGAATTCGACGTCATTGGTTGTTCACACGGCCCACTGGGGAGCCGCCCGCTGCGGTGCGGCGTGACGGCCCTCGGGTTTCGCATCAATGGGCGCTCTTTTCCGAGACAGAAAGTCCACTGAGGACATTCACCAGGATCTGTCTGATAAAGCAGTTCTTGGGGGGCGGGGGGGGGGGGGGTAGCTGCGAAGATTGCCTTCGGTTCAGGAGGCCCGGCGGCCTCACCCTGCGGTCTCATGTCACCTGCAGCAGGCACCGCCCTATTCGGTGGAGGAATACACGGGTTGTTTAAAAATGTCCTGCCCAAGGCAGCAGAATGATTCTAATGGCTTTTTTTATCTCAACATTGTGACTTTATGTGTTCTGTAAGGACCCGAATGTTTCCACTTAAAACAGAAATAGGATCCTGGTAGAATATACAAAGAATGGTAGAGCTGGGAAGAATATCAGAGACTCTGCCTGGCCGGTGTGTGGCTCAGTGGTTGAGAGTTGACCCATGAACCAGGAGGTCACAGTTCGATTCCCGGTCAGGACACGTGTCCGGGTTTCGGGCTCCATCCCAA